TGTAGGCATCTCCATCCAATTTATGATTCAAACAAGGCAGGGGTGGAGCATGCCCCCTTGTTCTCCTGATAAAATAGCCCATAACCCTGCAGAGACTGCACAAACCTGGGAGATGGCAAGGGTGGGGTTGAACTCTCTGTCCATGTTCAGACTAGTGTGGATGTTTGGTTCCCCAGGGACAACTATCAGTGGGACACTTTGTGCCACTGCTAGCTGTCCCTGGGGAATGCCCATGGCACATGCCCAGCACAGCCCACAGCTGCTGTGCTGGCCCCAGCAGCCTTACCTGGGGTCCTGGAGACTGGGAAAGATGCAGAAACATCTCTCCTGCAGGTTGGAGTCTGACTAGTAGCTGGACCAGGTTTTGGGCAGCACCTGCTGCTTCCACATGCACTGCCCTGCTTTTTTTCTGCACAGGTTTTTTTTTGAGCTCTGGAGATCCAGGGATCAAAAAAAAAACAAACCCTGCGCTGCAAGGTAGCAGCATGGGAAATGCCTGAATATGTGGTGTGTGGAGACACAGGCAGGTCTGCAGCACCACAGACTGCACAGCTACGCTCATCTGGACACAGCCTCTGGGAGCATCCCAATGAGCAAGCACATGCAGTTTGCAGTGCCTCAAAGCAGTCCGAGTCACTGCAACCTGCACACAATGTACATGCAACCATTCACTGCAGCAGGTTTTTTTGACTCCAAGAGATCCCAGTGTCAAAAAAACCTCAGCTGAAAAAAGTGGCATGGCACACATGGCAGCAGTGTGCACCACCAAAAAGGGAGCCTGGCTGGCCAGAGCCACGCTCTGGCTGCCAGCCAGGCTCTGAGTGGCTGGTTCAGCACTGATGCTGCCCCTGGAGGCCCCCAGAACTCTAGGTGAGGTTGGTGGGGCCAGCACAGGTGCTGGCTCCAGCCTCTCCTACCCCATCTGGGGCCCCTTTGCTGCACACCAGAGTGCATGGGCAGGAGAATGCCCAGGGACAAATAGCAGTGGCGCAAATATGTGATGCTGCTATTTGTCCCATGTGAAAATAGCATGTGTGTGTCATTGGGATGCCCCTGCAAATGTGTGCTCATTGGGATGCACCCTCTGTGGGAACAAAAGGAAATCATAGCTAGGTGTCACACATCTACATGAATGCTGCAGGTACCAAGCTAGTTAATAAAGGCCAGATCATGAAAAAAAGAGTGGACTTCATGCCATTTTTTGAAAGAAAAGACATGGCCATGCATAGACGAAATGAGAGGTGTGTGTGCACAACACTTTAAAGTGGGCAAAATGCTTTTGCACCGCTTTAATGGTGTTGGTGTTTGCACGCCTCAGTGGCGTATTGGACATTAATTCCAGATGCTGTAAGAAATTCAGCAGCGTAATACACCCTAAATGACTTGAGGCGCAGCAAACTAAAACTCCTCCGAGTTGCTGCCCCTACAGCCACAGAGCGAAACACTGGGCTCCAGGCAGCTCCACGGCTCTACAGAAAGCCCTGCAGGCAACCTGGCAGCAGCCTGGGAGAGCAGGCTCTGCCCAACAAAAGCGGCGAGCCTGATCTTTTTTTTTTCCTCCCCCCAGAGCCTATCTGCCTGAGCTGCATGGCGGCTCAGTGCTTCCCTCCACAGCTGCAGTGCCCCCCTAGCCCCCCTGACCTGGGTGCCGCAGCACCCCCCACCCCAGCCCAGGGACCACTCCACTCACCAGCAGCTCTCCCTCCCCACTGGAGAGGCAGGTAAGTCAGTGGGGTGTGTGCATGACACAGTGGTTTAATTGGCCCTAATTTGAAGTGGTGTTTTTGAAAACCCACCACTTCAGTTTGGACCTCCATTTTGTCTACACACACCCAATCGGTGCCTTCTGTCAGGACAGAGTTCTGGTCTGTGAATCCCACATAGAGGAAGGTGCCCCAGGTAGTGACTAAGCCTCCAAGAGGAGCAAGAGGTAAGACGCATACCCATTCTCCACATTTTCCTGTTGGCTCATGTAGGCAGCACCCTGCTCAGTATGCTGTTTTTGTAGATCAAAGGACACCCAACACAAGCTGTTACACTACATCTGGTACATCTGCATGTTTCTATGGTCCATGCAGATTTAATAGGTAAATCATAACAGCTGCTACACACTCCTTTAAAGCAGTTAAAATGCACATTTGTCCATAATTTAACCCCATTCCCACCTGCTATAGGAATCGGGCACCAGAACTCAGGTGTTACAGTGCTCAGTACTGCAACACTGAAGTTCCTTTTTGGACCTGTTCCTAAGTGCCTATACTAGGGACTCAGCATCTGGCAGGCCTGAGCTTGTATTGCAAAGTGTATGTATGGCACAATATCCTCAACTGATGTGAATCAGCATAGTTTAATTAACTTGGGAAGAGATGTACCAGTTTAACTGTGTTCTGCCTCGTCATTTTAAATGTTTGAAGCACTGATTTCAGAAGTTGTTGTTGTGGCGGGTGCAGAGATCCCACCTCAGGAAAACAGCTGGGTATTCATATCCCACTGCTATTTCCACCACGTGAAGCGGGCCAGTAGGGGGCGTTCCTGCGTTGAGCCACCCATCTCCCTGCACCCGACCACCTTCCAAGCACCAAA